GTGTTGACAGCGGAGCAGCCTCGGATGTGTGCAGCTGCTGTGGCCCGTAGCAGGGCACCGTTCAGGGTGTCGGCCTCGCTCCATCTCTGCGTCTCACCGCTCCAAGCCTGCTGTCTCACTCTCTCGAATGGACTGGAGTGGTTGCCAGGGCAACCGCAGCAAGTGGGGTAAAAAGGATTGAGTGACTTTTGTGGGGAGGGGAATTTAATGTAAATTTGTATCAGAAAGCTGTTAAATGATGGAGACGTGACGCTCGTTGCTTACTGCTACCACATGTACGTTTGCAGTGAGGATGCAGGGAGACGTCTTCTTGGTATTTCATGGTATTTACAGCAGCTTTTGGCTCTAGTAGAAAAAAAAAACACAACCTACACAAGCTTTTAGTGATGAACTGAAAAGCTTTAGATGTGAAAAAGACCTCCGTCAGGTCAGACCTAAAACTGGCTTTTTTGTGATGCATCCAACCCTAGAAACTTTCATAAGAACAAGCTGAATGACATCTGGTACGACATATATGGCAGAAATGGATACTGTATATTAATTTTTTCAAAGCTGTGGTGAAAATAGCTGCACAAACGAGTCTGTAACGACACTCATGACCATCATGTGTGGCTTAATTCGACAGTCTGAAGAGTCTTTCACAGTTATGTGATCAAAAAGGGCTTTATAGCAAAAATCTTAATAACTAAAAAGTTTCAAAGTTCTCTTGTTATGTTTAATTTTCATGCTCAGCAGATACATACAGCACAAAGATATTTTGCCTTTCTTAATTTTAAGCACTCACAAGAAGATTATGTGTGTATCCCATGAGCGTTACAAAAAAACACAAACAAGAGGCTTTTTGTTGTAATTAACTCCTTGTAAACAAAAAATCAGATTTTACTGACCCAAACAAACAACTTGGGCTGTTCTCCTTCATTATTTAGTTGATTTAAGCTCCTGTAATCTTATGACACTTTAACGTATGGTAATGTCGTACGTCAATGAATCAAGTTGTTTCATTAGCATGCATTAGCATGAGGACTAGCACCGATACTTTTTAGCCAAAGCAAATTCGAAAACATTTATTCCTGATTTAGTATATTAAGTAAGAAAAAAACAGGCTGAAATTTAATTGTCAGTGTTACCCATTAAGATGCTTGTGAGTGCTATAATGAGATGGGAATAGGAGAGGAAGAGCCATAGGGGATTCTCCACAGGGGAGCCAAATGCTAAAGACAAACATTGATGTAGTGTCGACTCAAACATTGATCTCATAGAGATGTTTTGTTTCTCTCTTCCCACTATCTTGCCAACTTTCTCTTCTGTCTTCTTTTTCTCATGTGTCCCTGGGACTTTTCTCTAATTTGCTCTGTCTCTCCCTGACTGGCTCAGCACATAGTCTACTGCTAATCCAGTGAGGCTGAGGCTAACACAGGAGCTAATCAGATTAGGACACTGCGGGTTTCTTTTCCCCTCTCCCTCTATCCTGTGCTGCTCTTCATTTATCACCGGCTGCTAATCTGTGTGTGTGCCTGTTTGTAATGTAGTGTAACTAACTATCAGTGACATGACTCATTGAGAAAATGTGTGCTGGTCGAATAAGATGAAGCAGAGGATAAAGTGCCAGCATTCAAGCAGCTTCTCTGCTGTTACTTTCAACCACGTCTTTCAATTTCCACACACTGATTCCACATTTTTACTCTGCCATGGATGAAAGCCTTTTTTTCTTCTCATACTAGGCTTTTATACTGAGAGGAACATTTTTACTTTTTCATACAACTTTGCATCGAGACTTTGAATCCCTAACCCTCCATTAGAATATACACTACCGGTCAAAGGTGTTAGAACAATCCCATTTCTCTAGTTTTTATTGAAATTTCAGCAGTTCAGCTGTTCAGAAGATAGGTCACCAAAAACTGTTTCAGGGATAAAGAAACTGGTTAGTTTTCCTGCTGCAGTGGAAGTAAATGGAGCCTTGAAAGCTAATGCAACAGTTGGCCCAAGAACAGTGAGAAACTCATCTATTGGAAGTAAGATGAGTTGGTCATGGGACTCATCTTAAAATCCAAAACATTAGAGGAAAGCAGAATAGACTTCATATGATGGAAGAGCAGCACAGTCTCCATTCAACTTCTGCAGGAGTGTTTGCACAAACTTTCTGAACAATATTTCATTTCTATTGGAGAAAGAACGTCATAAGTTTGTTCGGCTGCTGGACGAATCAAGTCCAGTTGTTTAGTTGTTCTACGCTTTCATATCAGAAACACAGAGACATTGGATTATGTAAATTTAAAAAACAGCTAGATAAATGGAGGTGTACTAAGACTTGGAAGGAAATGAAGAAAATGTCAAGGTTACTTGAGGATCTATTTTAGAGTAAATCTCTGAAAAACCGTTGGACAGGAGGTATTGTACATCTAACTACTTGTACTGTTCAAAGTGTGTAAATTATACCTCTCTATCATATCTGTTCCTTCAATGCCCTGAGCTAAAATATTTGATTTGCGGTCATTCCTCTGTGGTGTAAGAAACTTTGACCTGAACTCTTGGACTGTGCCTCCCTGTGCATCGGCTGAATTCAATTGCTCCTGCTACTCACTGGAAGGCATCCAAAACTCTTTTCCTGGTCCAGTGGATTCAAGGGGTGATGTATTTAGAAAAACTTTTAGAGTCAGCTACACAAAGCTTCAGTTCTCTCCAGATAAGAGCTGATGTATATTTATTGAACACACAGGAACTTCTATCTGAAGTGTCATTACTTTTCTTCTACATTAGAAATTGCTGCAGCCATGCATGTGTTCATACATATATTTTCTAGGCTAAGGCTTCAATGTATGTTTCCCATTGAGCCTTGAATCCTTTATTTTTCCCTTTGTTTTTATTTAATCATATCTAAAAAATCTTCTTATTAGGATTGTAATATCAATTTTGACCATATTTCTCTAACTCATAATATGAAGCTGCAAAAAAAACAAACAAACAAAAAAAAAAACGAAATTAACATGAGCAGGAGATGAACAAGTAAGAGTGAAGGCTGAAGGACAGACTTTGAGGAGGAGAGAGAGTGAGGGAGAGAGCTGGAACATTGCCTGTCACGGCACAAAATGTGTTGGCAGCCAATCTCAGATAGCTTCACACTGACTGACAGCTGGCGCGGCCTGTCAGGCCCTCGACGCCGCAGCTGCATGGTAGATCATGGTCGATTTGGATCCTTTTAAGCATTTGTCTGTCCATATCAGTGCCTGTGTGTGTGTGTGTGTGTGTGTGTGTGTGTGTGTGTGTGTGTGTGTGTGTGTGTGTGTGTGTGTGTGTGTGTGTGTGTCCAAGTTCACAATGGTAAATCTGTCATTGTGAAAAATATTTAGAAGTTTAAAGGCAAAGAATGATATGGATGTCTGTAATCTACTAGTGAAATAATAAGGCAGAGTACAAAGGGCATACATAATTACAGCAACACACACACACACACACACACACACACACACACATACACACACACTTCATGAAAACCATGACTGAAGCACATTAAGATGATGTGGCAGAATCACTCAATGAGCGAACTGATGAAGTGTAAATCTATCAATGCTTTACACACTCAATTTCACCCATTTGAGCGTATATATGTGCGTGTGCATGTATGTGTGCATAACTCTTATTTTCCACTCCTCACCCTTTCAGTGACTGATTCTGCATGCTTTCCATAAACACACACATAACTTCTCCACACTGTATTTACCCTGATCCTCATTCAGACCATTTATCTGCCATGATGGTTACACAAACCAACAAATATGTGTGCATAATCCTTCTAATCCATCCTGCTCTCCCTGTGAATGTCTTCTAGGCCTTTCCATGGGGTCTGTCTAACTGCCAGTGTGGTGAAGAGGGAAATGAGCAAGGCTTTACAAGCTGAGCCCACCCGGGGCTTTAATTAGAATGAAATCACTGGAATGAGCTTTGGCTACAAGCGGTCGCATCAACCTAACCCTCTGAAGTAAATAAGGTCTGTTTACTGTTGCAAATGAGCTTTGTGTATTATTTTACATTTAGAACAAAAGAACCCATGTATGTGTCTTTTGTTATTATAAAGCTGATGAATACTAAGCTACAAAACAGCAACATATAAATATCATTAATTTCTCTCCATCCTTCCAACTAATTCTTGGCTAAACTCGCCCTCTGCCCTCTCTGCACTGTTCCCACCATCATTAAAACACTCACAACCAACCTCTTCATTCACATGAGCCCTCTGTGCAAAAATCACTCTCCTTATTCCTCATTGACATGACTGTAATGAGCTTTGATTGACTGCGAGGGGGCAAAATATGGAGCATGCCCTGCTTCCCATGCAGCGAAATGGAAGCTGGTGCTGATTAGAGCTCCTGGTTGTGAGGGTGGGAAACCCCTCTATTTTGAGTAGGATAGGGGGGCGGGGGTTGGTGTGGGCTGGGTCAGAGCGGAGCATTCTATGGATGTGAAAGAGCTCTTTTAATCTAATTGGTGTGTGTCTGTGTTAATCAAAATTAAACACACACAAGCTCATCAGACTGCATGTGTGTGTGCAGATCGTCCTCTTGAGGGTACGTGTGTGTGTGTGTGTGTGTGTATGTGTGTGTGTGTGTGTCAAGAGGCAGAGAGATGACGCACGGTGCGGGGGCAAGTGAACAGCAGATGCTCCCATTAATTAGATGTAATGATCGCACAAGTAATAACTAAGAGGGTTGACTAGAGGAAGAGTTGATTAATCTATGAGTGCTGGCTAATTAATGCATTAGACTACATGGTACGAAGCCAGGCCTGTGAATCTGTCAGTGAATCACATTGTCAGTTTATTCAAGCAGGACACGTCAATCTGTAGCTACAGAGAATTCAGGAAGCCTCTTGGTCACTCTCACTTCGTGTCTCACAAACAGCTCGGTCTATTGCTGCAACTCGTCGACGCCGTCCTCAACTGACGCATGAACAAAAACTAAAATGTGCACTGTCAGGGCCCTGTGCTGGTAATTCTCAAGACTTACCTTCTGTTTCCGCCTCTCCTTCCTCTTGTCCTCCGTGTCCTGCAGCATCTTCTCTCTCCACAGGTCAAAGAAGTAGGATGGATTGGTGTAGAACTTAAGACCCTCCTTCCCATCGTCCCTGTGGACGGACAAAAGGAAACTCATTACATTTTGCTTGGTATTCTGGAGATGTAGTTCTCTTCCTTCAAAGACGCTAAATTACAACCAAATAAAAACATACATGTTGTGAAAAAAATTAACTAATAACTAAAAACCTTTGGGTGATAATGATTAGTGAAATTAATTTAGTGGAAAATGAATCTGCAGCTGTTTTGATAAATAAATGCTCTTGTTATTTTTAAAGCAATAATGCCAAACATTTGCTGTCTCAGCTCCTAAAATATGAATATTTGCTGCTGTTCTTTACATCATAGTAAGCTGAGTATCTTTGGATTTTGGACTGTTGGTCGAACAAGACAAGGCATTTGAAGATATCACCACCAGGTATTTAGAACTATTAATATTTTATGGAGAAAAACCATTTACAGTATGTTAGTTTTCATATTTCACATTTGAAGACATTTGAAGGGTAACGTCATCTTTCCTCTTTATTATACCTATTGGTTACTTTGTCAGTTAAAATGAATGAAGCAGACTGACAGCTGTAAAATATGGACAACTGAGAAACTGGGAGTAAAGGCCTTGTTTGATAATAATCAGGTTTCTTTTCCTGACTCCTGTCCTTGCCTGTCTTAGTCTGCTTTCCTTCATAAAATCATATCTGTTTACCCTTTGTCATGAATAATAGCTAGTGTCCTGCTTTATCATTCATTCCCTCTGAACTCTGCTCTGTTCTCTTTCCTCCTTGCTTTCATTACAGAGACCTTTGTGGTTGGCGCTCACTGGAGGGAACGGCGCCATGATGATGGGGAGGGAAACGAAAAAAAGATGCAGGTAGTTATCACATCAAAGAAAGTTATCTTGACAATGAAATGATCAAGCAGAAATGCCCACACATGCTGTCCGGAAATGTCATTTCATACCAACATGGGCATAAGCCTCGCTGATGTCATTCTCTTCCTTCGACAGTTTTTAAACGTCTTTCTTTCCATGTACATTATTTAAAACAGATTGATGTATGCAATAAATCAGAGGTCTGTCAAAGGCCGCAGCATTGGGACCCAATTATATTCAAATTTGCTTATTTTGTGAATAAAGCTGTACAGAAGCTGCCAGATCTGTTTGATTAATCACCTTTCTAAGTACTCCGGAGTAGGGCAGTTATTTTTATAACTTCTTTTTTACAGCTTTAACCATTATAGAAAAATTTAATTTAGTTCTTAGTTCCTCCAATGGAACTGCAAATGAATGCAAAATGGAAAAAATCTCAGTTGCTAAAGTCCAAAAATCTGAGTCACAGATCAACACAATATTATATTTTCCATGTGCAAACACACACATATCACCTATAAGCAACATCTAGCTTCCCATTGAAATGTAGAACAAGTTTAACAAATTTCCCAAAAGTTTCCAAAAGAACAGGCAAATAAATCTGTGTGAGTTGAGCGTATAGAGATAAACAACTGGTGATGCTAATTCTCCTATTTAAACAACCTCTCTCTTTATATACAGTTTCTGCAAATGAGTAAGGATAAACTCTTTAGTTGTGCGGTGCAAATTTTTAACAGCATCTCCCTCAGAAGACAAACAGTTTTTCATGAGTGTTTATCTGCACGTAAAAGGACGTTTCAAGTCTGCCTTTAAACTTCAAAATAATACAAAGAAATATTTGATGCATCCGGACCATTCAGTGGTTTAAATTCAACTTTGAACCCCAACTTGAACTCGTGTGCAGCTGCCCTCATCCAGTGTCTGCGATGCTTTGGGAGGCAATTATTTGGTGATGACACCGATAAGAGCAAGAACACAGAGCATGAAAAAGAAAAGCTTCAAAAGACAGGAGTGGAAAGTTTAATGGTATGCAACACAACAAAGGGAAGAAAACTGAATTAAATAATGGGAAAAGGCAAGGGTGGACAGACAACCACTGTAGTGTGTGTGTGTGTGTGTGTGTGTGTGTGTGTGTGTGTGTGTGTGTGTGTGTGTGTGTGGGCTGTGGGTAGTATTCAAGCGTTCAAGTGTGTAAATGATTATGCATGGTGTGTATATTTGAGGTGTGTGTTTGTGTGTGTGCTCGATCCCAGGGAGCCTCCTGGTGTGATGTGCTGTGATGTGAGGGGAGGAGATACAATAGGAAAGAGAGGAGAAAAAAAAATTCGAAGAGAGAGTAAAAGCAAAAGAAGGCGTGAGGATGTAAGATGGGGAGAGAATGAATGGCAAAGCAAGTGAAAAGATCAAAGTACAGTATCTTAAATTATGAATCATAAGAATGAAACCATCACCCATGATAATCCCAATCAGCCATTCAGTGCTGATGAACAAAATCAGCTCTGGGATCAGAACTGCATGGAGTGGAAACTAAAATTCATTCACTCATTGAAGAAGAAACAGCAAAGTGAGCAGAATATGTCACATTATGACCTTTTCTTTTTAATCCAGTGATGATTTGCTGTGCTTGTTCTTCTTCAACGGTCTCTGGCAGAATATAAGTTAGAGCTGAAACATTTAATCATTTAATTGACTGACAGAAATTTAATTGCAACAAATTAATTGTTTCAAAAGTCTCAAAAAATTAGCTGGTTCTGCTTTTCTGAAATGTGAATATTTCCCACTTTTCTGTCTTACAAAAGTAGGTATGTAAATATCTTTGGGTTTTGGACATTTCAACAGGGATGGTACAATCTTAACCATAGTCCGATAATCCTATTGTCAGCTTTTGAAAATGCCCATAGACGATATGATTGTCTAGAAGCATACATTTGATGGTGCAGTATTGTAAGCTGCTGCTGAGCAGTTAACAATTTAATAATTTAAAACATCACCAATATACCTTTGTTGAAAAGAAATATGCATAATTGGATATGTTCTTGTGTGTCGTGCGCAATGGGCTTTTGGACGTGTGTATTGCAAAGCTATGGCATTATTGTGAGCTATTGCAATGCATTTGTATTACTGAGTTTCTGTGTTTTATAGACCTTGTTATTGTTGTTGTTGTTTTGGTCTGTGTTGTAGTAGCACTGTTGTAGGCCTATGTTGTATCTGTATGGAGAGACACCGAATATGAATTTTTACAAAATAAGTTTCAACATGTATTTGCAAAAACGCTTCGTTACAATCAGTCGATCAGAGAGTGTGTGCAGGCATGTTGCAAGCATCAGTTATATGTGGTTATATACGTTAAACTGTGGCAGGCAAATTCAGCTTAGTATTAATTTAATTCTACATATAATAAGTTATTATATCAATGGGAAAACAAGTCAAATATCGCCTTGAAATTTGAAAAGGCGTGACCAATCGGCGATTGTTCTGATGATCGTCGATCACGGATATCATCGTCCGTCGCCCACACCTGCCTTTTGGTTGGTTGAGGCCATGTCAAAGCCCAGAGGTTAAAAACATGCCCACAACAGATTTAAATACCACAGCCTACACCTGCATCTGTCTCCGTACAGTGCATGAGTATGTGTCTAAACACACACACAGAAAGTAAAGAGATTGCGTTTGGCCTGAAACCTTCTTCAGGTGGCTCGGTCAGGATGACAGTATGAGCCAGAGAAGGGTCATGTAAGATGCTGGAGGTGGGAAAAAAACGAAGTGAGAGTAGGGAAAAAAAAGAGTGAGAAACCAGCAGGGTGAGAAAGCAGAGAAATAAAAGTGGGGGGGGGGTGCTGGCCAGCAGAGCTTTTTATGGATTATTCATCTTCAGATGACTCCTTCTATCGCTCTGCTCGCCCGGCTCAACCTCAAGAGCCAAGAGAGACGCCTGGTGTGAAAAAGGCACAAGTATGCCTGTAATAATATAACCAAACACATCTGGGTGCTCTCAGAGATGCACTAAAAAGGCTTTTGTATTGCCTCCGTATGGTGCACTACTGTCAAGAGGTCGAATAAAAGCCAGAATTTAAGGCCATTTAGGTATTTTTTTGTTAAAACAGTGGGGAGCAATCATTCTTTCTTTGTGTGTATCAATAACATACTAATGTGTTCACTTTTCCCATCTCCAAGACAAGAGATTGGAAAAGGGCTAATGTATGTGAGGGTCAGTGTAGTTAGCATCATGCTGGGCTGCTACTCAGTCATTCAGTCAACTTGCAGTTGCAGTGACATGAGGTTTCTCTTTTCAAAATATCACAATGTAATTTTAACATAAAGAAAATATGTTGCTAACACATTTGTTTTCTTAACCACTACACCACTGAGTGAGGTTCTTAAAATGTCTCAGCACAGCCGTAGATTCAAAGTTCTTTGCAGTAACTTAAAGTCAGTGACTGGAGTCAGACCTGTAGGGCGTGAGGATGTTGAGGGGCGGCGGCTGCTCGCAGGTCTGGAAGGTCTCCTGCAGTGGGATGGGCAGCGACGTGCGGTCGAACAGCTGCTGGTCCTGAATAGTGGAACTCCTGAAAGCCTTTCTCATGGTAATATCCTGAAGAGACACTGAGGGAAGGATGGGAGGATGGAGAGGGAGGGGAAGACAGAGGGGAAGATGAGAAGTCATTGTTATTTCGTCAGGTTCCCTGTGGAATATGTGATAAATGTACACTATGTGTGCGAGGTGTGTAATGGATACGGAGGACGAAAGTTATGCTTGTTGCTCCCTGGTTGTATGCTCCCTTGGCTCACATACACTTCCACCTACACACTCTCATTTTCTCCCATGTCTCTGATGAAGGCAATGATTAGCATTTGACTCCATCTCATCATTATCGCAATCAAAACCGACACTGACATCATCACTCAAACAGTCGCAATCATCATTACGGAGCACTAAACCTATTAGAAACCACTAATCACCCTCCCTTGGGCTCACATTACATTGGTGTCCTAATTGGCTGATTTCAATTTCCCCCAAAGCAAATCAACACATGACAGCTGAGCTAAGTTAAGCTAAGATAAGTTGGGCAGGACTAAGGTCATCTGTCAGAGGCTGTGGGACTAATTGTCCTTCTTTCATACAAGAACGACATTTTTGGAATAATGGGAGGAAATCAATGCTGCACGGCTGAAGCTTTTCAGAAGAACAGGTTGGAGAAATGGCTGAGGGGGAAGAGGAAAAACAACTATGCTAACCCTCAATCTGGTCAGGCCAAGTTAAAAACGGCATGGTCTTGGAAAGACATCCAGAGCGTTGCAACCAGATCTGAATTATACATGAGGGAGTGACAAATGGATACACTTTACTGCTGCCCAGGGGAAGACTGAAGAAAAGTCATGTGGCATACAGAAAAAGTATTGTTATAGTCCTCTGTTATTAGCTTTTTAACCGAACAAAAAACAATATGACGCCACAGAATCTAACACCAACCTATAACCTACAGGAAGTACTGTAGAGCTCCTTAAAACCAAGCAAAGAAAACAACATTTGCCTTAATGAAACAAACAAACAAATAAAGCAATTTTACTGTATAAAAAGCCCAGAAAGAACCATATAGAGCAACCTGGTCCTCTACATTGCAGCAATACAGCTTGATAATGACTTCTATACACTCTCAGAGGTGGGTTTTTTTTTTTTTTGGGGGGGGGGCGGCAGCCACCCGAGGCACTGAAGTATCATCATTAACAAACACTATCAGGGAGCCAAGGTTTGGTAAGTAACGCTCTGGGAGAGAGAAGTAAGGCCAGAGAATGCAAGAGGGAGCTAATAAAACTGCATGGACACAACAGAGGTAGGGTAATGGAAACAGGGGACGGACAGAGACCGAGAGAAAAGGCTCTGACAATAAAACAAAGAGTAGGAGCTGACATAAAAAGAGACATTCACAAGAAACGCAGACGAGGAAATGGCAAGCAGAGGGAAGGGAATCTGAAGAGCAGAGGGACAGATAGATGAAGAGACGATAAAACTAACATGGAAACATGCAAATAAAGAGGCAGGAGTGGTGTAGAAGAGCACAAGAGAGATGGCGAAAACACATAAAAACATGTAGTATGATTTCTATGAGAAAAACAGACAGGCATGAGTTAGGTATCCCATGAGGAGCGCAGTAACCCGAGCAGAGCCAGCGGGTTGATTTGGCTTCACAGACAACACAAGGGGGGAAACTCTGGCAGCCATTTAGACACACAGACAAACACAGAGTGTATACAGCATATTGTTCTGCGTTAAACAGAAATAACCACAAGAGGAAACTGAGGGTGGTCCCTCTGTTTTCTTGTGTCCTCCTGCTTCTATCAGTCATTAAAATCAACAGAGCACAAGTGGTATGAAGTGTTTTTAAACAGTGATTTATGTCCATGTTAAATTTGACTGTGAGTCTGAGAACAACTGAGCTGAGGGTCACAATGATTGGCAGGCTCATCCCACACCTCTGATACTGGTGGTATTCATCATTTTTAGTGCTACATTTTCTATTCAGTCCTGGGATTTACTGCTGTAGAGTTATAAATATTTGCCCACAGTACTTGTTCCATATGCATTTTTTCTTCTTCTCAATTTTCACTAAGACTCACATTTCAGTGGATTTTTTTTCACTCATCGGCCATTGTGAGAAGCTCTGACAGCTTTATCTATGTCTTCCTGTTTTGCACCAGTGGACAATCCCTCTTTGGGCCATAAGGCATAACAGGAGATTTCAAACCTGGCCGTTTGTATTATAAAATGTAGTGTACAGGCTGGTAGAAACGGTAATTATCTTCAGCCACAGCCTCCCTTTTTTTTCTTTATTTAGTGTTGTTGAGGAATTAGCAAGGTTTCTCAAAGTAATACTAAGCAACACAGACATTGCTACAATGATGGTTGAGAAACAAGTTGTCAGAGCAGGTTGTAAACAAGAATACAGTTTGGTTTTTAGATTATCTACTGTAAATGGAGATAAAATGGAAACGTTAAGGGACCTGAAATATCGGGTTACACAAGAACAGTGTGTGTAATTATGGTAAGAATGGTATTTACGGTATTTAGAAAGGTATGTTTTCTTATCCAAATAAGTTTGACTCATCTATCGGTTGCTTTAAAACCTGTATCATTGCTGCTTGTGTTTCTTGCCCAATCTTCCTTTTTAGTGATGCTGCAGTGTCTCAAATCTCGGCAGTTACCTTGTGAGTGCATTCTTACTATTACCAATATGAACGATAGCCCAACTACAACAATAATACCCAGGAGCTACTTTAGGAGCTACTTCAGGGTAACATAACAAACTTCAGGTCCTAGACCAGAGACAGAGAGAGGTGACTAATGAACAGAAGGGCAGAAATCAAAACCATAGCAACAGTTGCACGACAATTTCATTGTCCACAGTGATCTCAGAGGAGAGGAATGTCAGGGATAAGTAATGGTGAGATCTAAAAAGTTGAAGTAGATTTTTCCCCAAGCTAAGGGATGAAGATATGGAAAAGGAGATATGAACTTTAAAGTGATGATTCTTTTTGATGGTTTAGTGTAACCCTAACTCTAACCCTGTAGGGCATTAAACATTTTACCTTGCCCCCTTGCCACAGGAAGGTCAAGAGTCAAGGTCAGCATAAACTACAGGAAAGTGCTCTCCTTTACTCACTACTTACAAATCATACAGGACAGAGCTATAGATTATAATGCTGTACAGACATAACCCCATATCGGGTCCAGGGGTAGCCACTGGCCAACCGGTGCGTGTCAATTTGGTGTTGCTGAATGCTGTATGTTGAGCAAGAGCACAGTGCCCTGCTGCCCCAGTGCATTTAGGGAGAGCAGAGGGCTGTCAGATGGTGTGACAAGTACGTGCAGAAGTGACAAACAAGAGAGAGCCAGTGCAGAAGTGTGTGTCAGGATGTATTTGATGCAGAGTGAGACGACTTTAAACCTCTGCCAAGCAACACTCAGCCCTGAGAGAGGCACACTGCACTAATCAATGCGGGCAGAAACACAGAAGGCACGCATACAAACGCACACACACACACACACACGCACACAGAGTGGATCAGTCAAACACACACAGATGGATATCTTAACATGATGTTCTACATCCTAATTACAAAATGTCATTTATTCAGCCGAGCTACCAATTACACCCATTTAGTGAAGACATTTAGCTAATGAGAAAAATGTGAGTGTATGTGTTTGTGAGAGAATGAGTGAGTTAGTGAGGCACTGCGAGGGTGTGTGCATGTGTGCGTACGAGTGTGTGTGTCAGGTCGAGCAGCACCAGGTGCAGCAGCAGCCTCTGATCTTAGCCTGTGAAGCTCCTTATCAGTAAGCGAACGGTGGATAGTTTATCTCTCTCTCTCATATCTTTCTCTCAGACAGATAGCATCTCGCAAAAACACCCTCAACCAAAGGTGAGGAAGTTCTTGTCACTCACACGCACCCCTACCCTCTTCTCCTTCAGCTCCCCTCAAAATTTTCAGGAAAACAGTTTTCCCTCTTTCCATCCCCTCGCTCATAGAGATGCAGTCCTACACATGGAAGATAAGAAAAGGCACAGGCCGAGCTGTCTTTTAGCATGCACACATGGCTCGTTCTCCTGTTGTACTTCAATGCAAATGTTGCCCTATATTTCCCCTCCTGCGCACATCTCCCTGCAGCCCTGATTTGCTCTTACCTCTCTCTGACTCTGGCTTTCCTCCTCTTTCAAACCCTCCTTTCTTTTGCTTATAAGCTTGTTTATTGTTTGTCCTCTGTAAAAATACATAAAGTTTATGCCAACCATCTGAAATTATTATTTGGAAATTTTATTAGTATTCACTAATGTGTTATGAGTTATTGTGTAGAGATATTTTTGAACTGTCACAACTCTCCACAGCTGCATAATTGTTGGAGTCCGTGCGGCATAAATTTTCCCATGTCCCCTTTTTTTGCCAAATGGTGACACAGGCCATGAAGACACATCTGATTGTGTGCGTAAATAGGAGTGGGTGACATAGATAAAATCCTCTATTGTGATATCAATATATTCTGTGACATAGCCAATTTTTATTACAGTGGTTCAATTGAGAAACTTATAACTTATAAAACTCTGGTGTAATGGAACATTTAAATACCTGACAAATCAAGGTACTTTATCACGTCAATATAAAAATAGCATAAAATACAGCATTGCCATAAAATAGTCCTACTTGCTGATCTGCCCAAAGACACTGAAGGTATCATTTCTTCAAAAAAAATGCTTCTATCTACATTCTCAACCATTAGAGCATTTTATGTTTGCATTTCAATTGGCATTTTAGTCAACTTAATGCTTTACTGTCTTTGTACTTTTTTATTGCAGCTATTCTTATAATTTATACTGTAGCACTGAAAACATTTTTCTTTCCCTGTATACTGAGTATTGTAAATGGAGACAATGAAAAGAAATGAGACCTTTAACAGAGTGTTGACCTTGAAAAAGAGTGTTTTATTTAAATTACCCATCTCCTCGCCTAAACCTGTGCGTAGGCAGAGTGTGTAACTAGCACATTAAAACACTGACTCTCATCTGAACATACATTTCTGCTGGGAATCTCTGGGATGTATATATACCTGT